GCCGATCTAACATCGGTTGGCGGCCCGGAGCAGGGCTGGGCATTGGACTCGATGTTTCAGGAAATCGACATTACCACGGGAGAGCTGGTATTCGAATGGAGCGCCATTGAGCACGTCGCCCTGAGCGACGGCGTCAGGTCCTTCGCGGGCGACGACGACGGCACGACGCCAGAGACGGCGTTCGATTACTTCCACATCAATAGTGTTGACGTGGACAGCGACGGAAATTACATCGTCTCGGGCCGGCATACCTCGACCATCGTGTGCGTCACCCGCGAAGGCAAGATCCTCTGGACGCTCGGCGGCGTTGCGAACGATTTTCACGACTTGTCCGGCGGCCGGGCGACCGACTTCATGTATCAGCACCACGCCCGGCTGCACGCCAACCACACGCTCAGCATCTTCGACAACGCGGCGGCAGAGCGCGCCGGCCGCGCCTCGTCGCAGGCCCACAGCCGCGGTCTCCTCGTGCAGCTCGACACGATGAACATGACGGCCACGCTGCTGCACGAGTACTTCGACCGCGCCAACCCGCGGCGGACCGTCTCGCAAGGATCGATGCAGGTGCTGGACGACCGCGTGGTCCTCGGGTACGGCTGGCTGCCGTTCATCACCGAGTTCGCGCTTGACGGCTCCGTCATCTGCACCGTCGAGCTTGCGCCGTGGGTCGCGGCGCGCTGGGGCCTCGTGAACACGTACCGGGCCTTCAAGGCGCGGGACTGGGCCGGCCGGCCCGCGGAGCCGCCCTCCGTGCACCTCGACCCGTCTGACGGGCAGGTCTTCGTGTCGTGGAACGGCGCCACGGAGGTCGAGCGGTGGGTGCTGCAGGGCGCGAACTGGACCGATCTCGTCGGGTCCAGAGCCGACGCGAAATTCGTCGACCTTGACATCGTCCTGAAGGACTCGTTCGAGATGGCCTTCGAGGTCCTCGACGATATGCCGCGGTACCTCCGTGTGGCGGCCATCGATAAGCAGGGCCACGTGCTGCGGCATTCGCAGGTACTCGACCGGAAAGCCGGGAACGCGGCGGACAGCGGGATCCGCGATGTTGCCGTCTGGGGCGCGGTCTTCGTCGCTGTGGCGGGGGCTGTCCTGTTCGTCATCGGCAAGAGAGGCCGCAAGGCGATCTTGGGGAATTCGTCGCGCGCGTGCGAGCTGCTTGTGCGCGTGTGTCGGGAGCGAGTCGCACGAGTACTGTCTACCGAGCCTACGGGCGGCACTTACGAGCCGTATCCAAGGAGGAGGTGGTGGCAGGATTGGGGTGGTGTTAAGGCGCATGAGTTGCAACCTATATATCATGACTAGACTACACTCGGAAGGATTATAGTTGATAGATTATACCCATTTGCTTATGATTCTTATGTTTCTCGAATAGTAGCTATCCCCTCTTTTCAGCATTTTTTCTTCGCCCGACTCGCCAAAGAAAGAAACCAGGCAAATGGACGTCAAGAGATAAGTCGTAGTATAGACGGATTAGCTATTGGTTCAAAGCTCTTCTTCAAACTACCTAGTTCTGCTGCAACCAGCGCAAGGGCCCTCCCAGATCCGGCATCCCTAGAGAATCGACATCCGTTGCCGCCGCAATCGTCAACTATTGGGCTAATCCAGTCGGAAGAACAAAACAGCAATCTCCCTCGACCATGCCGCTACGGCGCCTGTCTTTCATGTACGGCATCTAGCCAGACGGTGTTAGCCGCGCACCCGAGACTCCCTGCAATTTTAAAGGGGCGCTTGTTTGTCTATGTGCCCGTGTTTTGGGGTGCTTGGGAATGTTGTAGAGTGTGGTGGTCGTAAGAGCCAGAGAATGGATGACAGATCTGTTGTTTTTGCTGGCGAGGAGTTCGGGAGCAATGGGGAACGATGATAAGTCAGACAGAACGCCGGAAGGGTAATTAGTGGTTCTATACGATAGTTCGCGATGATCATTCTTGAAAGTGAGAGGAGTAAGTAGGTAAGTAAGTATTGCTTTTTATATTTATTTGTCATCGACTCTGCTATGATACTCAACCACTTTTGGGGGTTGTCGGTGTGAAAGGAATCCGGCACCGACATCACATTCTAGACATCGATAGCTATTGGCAATGAACGTTTGACTGACTACCTGATATTGAAAGATAGATAGCCGTTGGTAATAGGCACTTAACTTCTGACAGCCGTGTTGGTAGGCGAAGAAGACATCTGACGACTTAAGTCAATTTCTTCCGGACGATTTTCCTTTTTATCGTTCTCAATCAATAACAAAACGTTGAAGATGCCTTCTGTGGTGCATGTTGTATCCTCTATACGTGGGCTTTCCTTGCTAATTAGGTTGTGTAGGTACAGGCGGGAGGGGCTTTATATTGAATGCCTCGTCGACACCCATGGCACTGTCGGTCAAACTTTTAGGGGTATCTTGAGCTGTAGCAGGAGCAATTGCGGATTCTTTTGACTACTGCACCGCTGCAAGAAGTCAGTAGAGGCATTTATACCGAGTGTTTAAGATTGCTAATAGAAGCGAGATGAGAGCTAGAGAGATCTGATGCCCAGATTGAGCTCCAAACCATCACCTCGCTTTTCTAATAGTTACTACTAGGTAGCGTGGAACGTAGAATTGTCATCCTCTGCTATCTGCGGAGACAGTACTGACTCTATCGACCAACCCTAATTTCCTGCTCGCGATAGACAGCTGAATATGTATTGAAATGGATGATGTGAGTAGGCTCGTCTGCATCGGCTTCGTAGGTAACATTTTGACAAAGGCGCCAAGGCAGGATTGTCGAGGGCAGAGATCCAGGTCGAGATACCGACAGACAGCATCTCTTCCAAGACGTCTTAACTATCTAGTGCCCTTGACAAAAAAAAGCGTTGGTATTATTAGGCCATGGGAACTGTACAGAGAGTGGGTCTTAACTCACAGGGCAGCATCTTCAAAATACATTGCAGGCTTAGGAGGTTCTTCTCCATCGACAATAACGTCCTCTGCGTTGTCCATCGCAGTATGATCTCCCTTGCAGCTCCAACCACTGCACATAGCTTTAAACTTACCGAAAATCTTGGTAGCTAGATCCTTGCCGCCATCTTCGTCTTCGACATTTATAATGTTAATGGTAGGCGGGCTGCCTACTCACGCCGCGATAGTAGGGGCTACGGTTGCGGTACCCTCGGAGACCGTTGTGCACGTCAGGACAGCAGCGATACCGACGAGCGTACATGCAGCACAGTTATGAGTCCACACTTCAGTGGCGATTATGACGGTCTGCATCGCAGTAGTGTCTGTGGGAATGGATTTGTATGCGCAGCTTGTAGATTGTGCGCTCGTCGCGGGCAAGACACGGAGGGTGATAGAATCCTCGCATACGCAGAACGCTTGGACAATACCTTCATCTGGGTCTTCGTTCTGACGCTCGCACGAAGGAGTAGGGGCCGGGGTGATGGCAGTAGGGACTGAACTTGCGCTGGTGGCATCGACATAACAACTAGCGGGGATACAGGGCTTCTTCCTTTGAGGAGCATTGGCGAAGGTTTGGCGCCGAGCTTGAACAGCTGCATCTATGTCTCCCATGAACTTTTCGAAGTCTTTCGTGCTAGGCGTGGTGGCGGCTAGGTCTCTAAATTTGAACAAAGGGACAGCGTGTTGTAGGTTGTACACATCCTCCGTTGCTGTTCCAAGGCCTCCAATAGGATGAACCATCGATGCTTTCGCCAAATCGAATGTGCGTCTTTCGCGCCAGTTCCGCAACCTCAATATCGCCTGCATTAGGCCCGTTCCAGGGCTGCCATGCTATCCGATAGCGGAAACATAACAGGGACGGGGACAGAAAACAAGCTCGTTCACTTACAAGGTCAGCTTTTGACTTGCCCTGGCAGCCACTCCCGACTTTGATGGTCTTCCCCTTCAAAATGTATTATAATAAAAGCTTTCCCGCGTTTGCCAACCGTATCTGCTGTCAGTTCAAAGTTCATCCCTATGCGTCCTGCAATGACCTTGCTCTTTGCAGCATCGGCATTGACCTTATCATAGGCACTGTTCGTGGGAAGCAAGACGGGAGTCTCGAATTCAGCCCCGATGCCTGCAGTCCTATCGAAAATAGGTACTATCAACCCACCTCCCGTATTGTCCTGGATTACTACATCACACTCCCCGGGCTGTAGAGACACATGGACTGCAGAGACAGCAAATAGAGTTGAAAAGTAGAGAAGTAGTTGCATAGTGGTTAACTCTTCTATCGAAGGACAGAGTGCGTCATGATGAAAAAAGCCCAGCTACTTATTTCCTTGGGCCAAACTGAGGCGAATCCACGGTTTCTATCACTTTCCTTCTCTATTGTTTCAATAGTAGGAGATGATTCCTTTCTCTGGGTCCCCCAACATTAAGATGCTATCTAAACAAGCGTACAAATTCCCAACCCTATGGATTTCCGAATATTCAAATATAGATATTCAGTCCTTAATCCACTCTCATACTATGTTGGTTTCGGGATGAAAATACATACAATAATATACCAATCCTCTCGATGCAGACATTTCTAGTCTTCTAGATACGTAGAGTGTCTGGATAGAAACAGGAACCACGCATTCTGCCTTGACGATTGTTGGTTTCGGGATAAACACGAATAGAACATGTGAGCATTCCTACATATAACAATAAAGTAGCGCCAGTGGGATTCTCAGTCACATATAGGATAGCTTCTACTTTGCATACAACTATTGAAGAGTTAGCATAGAAATTCAGGACTGAAAGTTCTGGGGTCTAAAAATGGAGTCCTATATACCACTCACGACCACTAGATGTACATGTAATGGTTGGGGAGATACAGCCTATTTATTATCTTTATCTTTCGCACACCTATTACACTCTAGCGGCCACAAAAAACTAACCTGTGGAAGAAACGCTTAATTCATATAAATCTAAGCATAAAGAAAAAAAGAAAAGAAAGCCCAATTGCAAGCCTCCCTACAAAGGACTCTCTGTAGGCGCACCTAAGGGTCTATGTGTACTAGTTGCTAGTTGTACAAAAAAATGACAAGAACGAGATTCGAACTCGCGCGGGTTGCCCCAGAAGAATACAACCTGTTTTTACAGGTAAGGATACAAGTATCTTGAGTCTTCCGCCTTAACCGCTCGGCCATCTTGCCTGTATTGGAATTTCTAAGTCTAATACTATAATTTAACAGGACTAAATAACAGAATACAATGAATGCACTGTTTATTAAAGCCAGGGTAGCCTGTATAGTCTACATATAAATTTAACAAGTTAAATACTTTGAAACCAATTAAAAACGCCATGGGTACACCTTATGCTATGATAAGTTAGCATCAGCCTCCGTGCCGAGTGTTTAATATTATATATTATTGGCCGAGACCACGGGTAAGCCCTAGGCTCACTGCATTATAGATTGCAGAGTAAATCTAACATTAGCAAGCTAAAGTCTTGGAAATATTGCCTCCCAGGTGGTTATTATTAGCAGAATAAAAAACCACCCTGAAAAAAACTAACGGAATAGTTAGCAGGTGTGGTTGAAATTATCAGGATTTCATGAGTGTCATGCGATGCGCTGGCGTCCGGTGGATGTACTCGGAGGCGTATATATTGTGTACGGAAGTCCGGATATCGTATTGGAGATGTTTTGGTTAATGCCTCAACGGTAGACAGGCTGGCCGTTATGACAGTCTTATACGTTTCTCCCAATGGTCAAATTATAAATTATTTCACAGGGAAGCGGAACCGCTTAGTCTTGTCGAAACTTGACCCTTATTGCTATGAAGCAAGACTTGTCGAATAAAGAAGTAGCGTATATATGTTGAGGAGGGCTAATTAGTTAACAAAGAGTTGGAATTTGGACAATAACCAATAACATCAATGATTAACCCATACCTATAGTTGATGGTTCCTAACACCTACCCATATCCCCTTACCCACTGATAGTCATTACTCGGTAATCTGCATAACAAACCCAATCTTTAATTTCGGCGCTCTACCTTGTGCCGGGATATCTGCAAATAGATATACATACCAAATATCGACGGCCAGTCCATCTGGTAAAAGATTATGGTGACCACCAGAGTCACTACTGAGCCAGAACACCACGACACCTGCCGCGGCCTGAACTCCCGCCATTCCTATACTGATCCTTCGATGGGATCTACAGCCCTAGGAGTTTTCGGAGTCGGGATGTGTACGTCACCTTACAAGGAATGTCGTGACTATTCCTGGCGCTAGGGATTGGACCCATGGTGTTCTCATCGTTCCGAACGGGTTTTGATCGTCAAAATTTCCTTCCGCTGTTGTGAGAAACAGATAAGGAAGATTGGCGAGAGCCGATTCGTAGTATATGCCCGCGAACCATGGGTCCTTTCGGCTATGGCTTGCCGCTGCGATGTGACCATAATTCCAAAAAGGCAAAATAAAATACACGTACAAACTGAAATCTCCGAGTGATATAATAAACGAACAATTCGGAAAGCAAAAGTGAAAGCTCGCTAGCTTAGTAGAAAGATATAATTTACCTGCATAGGTGTAAGAAATGGACCTTGTAGGCCACTCTAAGAAAACCACCTTTATCCTTCGGAAATAGTAGGCACAGTTAATACAAACCTCAGCAGTTCTCCGTTTAGCCGTGCTCATGCTCATAAAAAGAGAGAAACGAGGGCTAGCCGGATGTAAGGAAGATGTAGGCGGGACAGTGTACACTACAAAAATACCTACCTAACCTCTCACGGTAGATTCCTGTGTTAATTACTTGATTACCTCTACAACATTAATGACTGACTACACAATTGGTTATCAGAAAACAAACACAACCTAAACACTTGCGTCATATAATGATTAGTGTTCTGACAATTCATAAAACAACATTCCGAAGGACTACAAAGCTAGCTAGCTCAGTGGAAGAGCGCCGGGCTCATAACCCGGAGGTCGATTGATCGAAACAATCGCTAGCTATTTTTGCAACAATATTTCTCACTCTTTTATACTCTTCTAGATTTCCCTTCATCTTAAAATTTTTTTTCTTTAATCCCGCCCCCCCTTTCCTTGTTCTTCCGTACTTAGTCTACTTAGGTATTCTCCTTTTTAGCGTCTTCGTTCCATATGTATGTGTGGATCTCCGCTGTCGAGGTATTTCCGGTGCGCCTCTCCACGTGTTCGAGCAGCACACGCTACGAATTTCCTAGATTGGATAGGTGGATTGTTTCTGCACCGCACTAGAGAAATCTTCTCCATTCTGTACATGGAACTAGGTATGTATGGCCGCTGCTGAAGTTCGCTTAAGCGGTTGTTGTCCCGATTTTTCGTCACGCGACGATCAATTCATTTGGCCTTCTCCCAAGAGTCCGTAATAACATGGGTTGCAAAACTCAGTATATCCTTGCGGATGCGACAGTACAGAACTGTGCTGTAGGCGCCAGGGTTCATCCTATGAGATAAGCGACATCCGTATAGCATACCGTACCTACATGTGGTTCGATGTGTGGACATGCCCAGGTAATTTCTTGGTAATATCTAGATAACCGTTTCTGATCGTGGAGTAAAAGATATTAATTACGTTGGATTTTAGCGTACCAAGATAAAAATAATCCCGAATCCTAGTGCAGTTCAAAACCGGTCGTATAGATGTAAATTGCCAATACGCAAGGTTTAGAATGCCTCGCCTCGCCATACCATACTGGGTGAGCTATTCTTCCTAGTGAGCTGGGTTCTGTCCCTCACAGCGCTATCGTTTTTCGCTACCTGGCATCTACCATGCACTACCTCAGGTAGCTCGGTGAGGTACCTAGCATATTATAGTGTCGGGAGAGCAAAGCAAATACATCTAATGTATGCCTACTGTAGCCTGCATACGTTACACCCACCGCTAGTTAAGTGGTATACGTCACCATGATATAGGTATGTACCTCCAGTATAATACTCGGCAGCACAAGCAGCATGTGCAGACTACCTACTTAGATAGTATACATAGGTAAGCTACATACGTAAAGGTGTGTTGTACATAGACACGTGTAAAACCCCATCCCTGGGACTGTCCCTTATTCTCGTCGGTATCAATGAAAAATATATACATAGAGAGTGAATACATATTTGTTAGGAAAGAGACCAATAGCCGAGGGTTCCTCATGGCTTTGTCAATCCCGAGGTCCCTGCATCTATAGTGCACTAATTGTGCGCTGCGGAACAAGCCGTGTGGCTTTCTTCTCTTCACTAGGTACTAGTAGTACACTAGGTTTAGTGCACTAGGAGCAAAAATGAAGCACAAAGAGAACACTGGGTACACCGACAGAAGTACGGGTTGTGAAACGGGTAGATGTTGATGGCACTTTTGATTCAGCCTCCACCCATAATCTGCTCTGATATTCTCTCCATCTCAGGTGGGAAGGTATTTCCGGGATGCAACGAACCGAGAGCCGTCTTTTCCTCCGATTACTGGCCCCAAGGTCCGACCTGAGCAAAATCCCGATAGGGACCCATTGACCTGTAGTGTAGGTAGGTATTGCATCTTCATGTTGTATCCACACTACCGAGGTACCTCCCTCTGTACCTAGTATTTCCAACCTGACCTCTCCCACACGTAGGGCTCTGTGTGGGGACAGGCAGGTATTGTTGGGAAGTTACCTGACCTCCCTCCCGCTGTTTCTGACCTGGTGGCGTGCAGTACGCTACTCGGCGCTAGGGAACTTTAAATCGTACAATTTATCATTTACATGGACGATGCCTCCGTCGAGTGTTTCGATAATTAGGTAAACAGCCGGGTGCTTGTAGTGTGTGCAGGTGTGTAGTGTAGGAGCGCATGTCCATGTAGAAGATATTCGATGCATGTTATTTATAGACGAAGCAATGATGGATGTTGAAACAGCAAAGAGTGCGTGTGTTGAGAGATAATCAAGGCACACAGACATCATGACGACTGATGCCTTTCACCATCGCGTGTTTCTTACCTCCATGGACTTACCTACTTGGGCGCCTGAGGTACAGTAAGTGAGGGACATCCATGCCTAGGTACCTCGTCTGCCTACCTCGGGAGGGCGGTACGGAGCATCTGTGTGCACTACCTACTAGATGCAGCATGGCACTGCAGGTACTACCTGGGTCGGTATATAGGGTGATTACACGTAGCCGGGCACTTGCACTACCTACCTACCTGGTAAGTATGGGATTATGGCATTATAGCATGGCCGGTTCCTCCCGTCTGTGTACGACCTGTGTCTGCGCTCTTCGACGCCGTGGGTTCCTGAAATAGCGTCATGACAGTGATTCTTCTTCACCGTCTGCCTGCCTACCTAACCTGAGCACTCACCTCTCGGGTCCACGCGCCTTGCAGCCGCTTCCTTGCATTGCCAGACTTGGTACCCAAGTAATCCCGTAGGTACCTTGCACAAAAAACATGGCCATCATCTGCTCTACTCAGCACTGCCTAAGCATTGATCGCTACATGCTAGGTACCTACCGAGGAGAGTAGGATCCCTATACAAGCGCTACGACTATACTGCACAACATGAGTGGTCCCTGGCCAGAACCACTGTCACAAGCCAACATCATGCCAGATAGCCGTCACATCAGGCCATTCACATCCCCATGATCAAACCTTGCATATAGCCAAACACCATGTCGGTAATGGATGGAGAACTGCACTATTGCTGCTAGCACAGGCAGGTATCTGGTCTTTGGGGGATCGGTTTTCTGCCTGCATTCTAGAAGATGGGTAAATATACGAACTACATGTGCAGGGGTCGAGGGGGGGGCGGCGGGGAAGGAGGCGAAGAGAGGAGCAGAGAAATAAAATAAAATACACGACAATAAAATAACACAGATATAGAAGAAATACAAAAGGAACCGAGGGACCTGGGTAATTAGGGAGAATTGATGACATGGTATTTCAGCTTTGCAGCTTCACACTCGACCAACCCGGCCCATCACCAAACAACTTTGACTTTGCACCCTCCCTCGCATTACTCGAATCCTGTGCAATCCACTCCCACCCAAGCCAATTCCATCCTGATCTCGCCCAGTGCAACCCATCCCGCCTCGGCTACTGCGAATACCTCCCTCCAGGGCACCTACAGAGAGCACTTACATAAACACCCGAGCCCTCACACACTCACCGACAACAGCAACAACAACAACATCATCATTATCATCGTC